TTGTGGAAATAGATGAAACAGTAGTGCACAAGCGAAAATACAGCAGGGGACGTATTATTAAGGAAGATTGGGTAAGTAGCACTTCCGTAAATATACCTGACAGGTACTTGGAACTTATGATCGATCAGCGCTAAAAGGACATTTTCAGAGGGTCAAAAGCCGGCAAGCAAGAACAATAGTACCAATTATACAGGAATACGTGCAGCCGGGCACTACGATATATACAGATGATTAGTGAGCATATAGATGCCTTCATAAACTTGGGTATGTCTATCATGTCGTAATGCAAAAGCGCATTTCGTCGACGCTAAAACCGGCGTTCATAATAATAATATAGAAGCCATGTGGTCCAGATTGAAGGAGTTTTTAAGACCGTATCACGTCTCCAGAGGTCGACTGTTATGGAGCCATATGGATGAGTTTCTATATCGTATGCACTATGATTTCAGAACCTCTGAACATCTATCAAACCTCTATAAATTTTTTAATCATGTAAAAGAAAAATACCCACTTTAATTTTTTTGTTTTTTACAATATATTCTTACTTTATACTAACTGTCTTCTGATTGGTTAATAATTGTCAAGGTCATTTAAGATTCGTTCAAAGTCTCGCTCTGTAACTTATTTTGTAATTCTTTTAAGAAATTTAGTGTTGAATTTTCGTGTATTATTCATTCATTTCACTTGTGCCTAATATAAGAAGAATCTTAAGAATATCCTGTAGGGCCAGCGAAATTCCACTGAGCCCTAGCCAAATCATTCGGTAGTTGGGTCATTGAATATCGAACAATTCATCAATCCTCGTCGAGGTCAAGGACAGCCAACGCACATCAGTTAGTCGTACCCCATGGAATGGCCCATGCGGCAGTGGTCTTACCTTCGCTTGTATCTATTTTAACTAATATATTTCTGTAATAACGTCCTCTGTGTTGTGCAGTCTTCAAAGCATCTATAGTACCTTGATACGTCAATGGGGTTGTTTATGTATGGTGCTGATCACGAGGTGTGAATTCGACACTAGCTAGTTCGTCACACCATTCCCGTCTAACTCGAGTAGGCTTTCGATCATTCGACATAGATCATCTACGTTGGTGATTCACAATCCTAATGTTTGTCTAGGCTGATTCAATCTACTTGAGAGAAGCTTTTTCAGATTTATCTACGAAATCGTTTTGGAGGTAGGAAATTTCACTTACCGTCAATTCTATTAATAATCAGACTGAAACTGTTGTTTCTGATTTTTCTGTGTGTATTCATGTTTTATTCGAATTCACTAACGTCGTTTATTTCTTATGATTATCTATCTACCCTAACAGATGTGTGAACTGTATCTAGGATACATCTTGAATTTATTTAATTCAGTTTTCTGTTAATGTCAATTAAGTAAATGAATATATACAAATTTGAGTGAGATACATATTTCATCAACTACATTATCGTCATATCATAAGGGAGTTAGAAACTAGACACTAAAGCCCTCGTAAAGTAAGATTAAGTAATAAATCAAACCAGGAAACTAACACTCGATAAGAGGAATACATTTAGTTTGACTAACTGAATGTCATATATGAGAGGATTTGTCGCGGGATTCTGATGATTTATTGTACTAATCATTTTGCAAGTTAGACCAAAGTGCTTATAAACAATAATTTTGTACAAAGGACTGTGAAGTAATTTCACGAGCATCATGATTCGTAGTAACGTAAGTGTCTTATATATAAAACTTCTATTCTTTTTCATATCTTTTACATCGAAATGATTAGCAACCCAGTTAGTTGAAAAACCAAAAATCTTACCTAATGAGGCATAATTACACACCTACCATTGTAGGAAGTAAACTTAGCTTGATCCCCTCAATTTTTCATCGATTGCGTTCAGTATTTTTGGACTCGTTTTTGTTTAACATCTTTCCACATGTCCTAACGTTAAATAAGAAAAGATTGACGTTTGGGTTACTCACAGGAAACCTAAACTGCGACATGGTTGTATTCATGGAAATTAAGTACTCCCCGGAAAAACATCCAAAATTGTGGTCTCATCTATACTTTTTAACGTTCTAATAGTGCACATGTAAAATCCTTCTGTTCTCAAGAAATCTTTTATAATTACTCTTCCTGATCTATAGCATACGTACTTTGCATTATACTGTAAATGTTTAGCCCAAACAATACGTGTTGAGATGGCGCGTAAAATTTTCATCAGAAATTTATCTCCGTTTGGAATTCAGGAGTTACTGATAAATCCTATACCATACTACTGTCAGATTTTCAGAGAAACCAAGCCGTAGGTATCTGTGAATTATCGTTTGACCACGTCTGCTTTTGATAGTCTAATGACATTTACATCCGACCCAGTAATTTGACAGAAGTTAGAGCTCTTTCATCAGTTCACTTATCCATGTTTGCTTTGCATACATACATTTTACAAGATATTAAATGCTAGAAAACTCTGTTTCATGGTTTCTGGTCTCATCTGGGGAATGAAATAAACGGATTCTGTTATTTTTTGACCCAACAAAACGCTATAAGATGAGAAACGATTGGTCCATTATTTCGAGGACATTTCCGAATAGTATTTCTCCTACATTGAGACGTGAATCCAATGAAGCTGTACAATATCATACTTTGCCTTCGAGAATATCCACTTCAAGACGCAATTAGCGGAGTTTACAATCTTTAAGCCCTCTCGAAATACTGCTTTATTATTTTTCATAATTATGATGATTAGAGATTTGGTTATATTTATAGAGAAGGGAATTAGTTTACTCATCCTGTGATCACTATGAAGTAGTCATGCAATTACTCCAAGGTCCGAGCCACATAAATCCGGTGGTACGCACGTTAACCATTGTCGGAGCAATAGGGATTATAATTGTCTAATCACACGGAATGATATCATTGTGTCTCTAGAGCAATCAAAATTGCCAAAAGACCACAAGGATTCAACTGTAAGGTCAATGAGGTGGAACTGAACACTCACCAAAATATTTATCAAGCTGATCGCTGGATGTTGAATCGTCCTCCAAACTTCGTGTAAGTCGTAGAACACTAAAACGAGTCGACTGATGAACGCTGTGGAACTAGAAACTCTCAGTCATTAATCTCTTTTTTTACAGATTTTGACTCTTGATACCTGAACAAGACGTTTACGCGATAAGATCTTATCTGTTCTGTAAATGAGCTATGTAAGTAAAATAATTGTCTCATGACGTGACTCCAAAGAAAGTCAGGCAGAAATATTACCCCCAATGAATTGTGATGTTTGAAATTCTGCAAAATAGTCAGGATAAATATGAATTTAACTATTAAAAAATGTATTGCAATCTCCACAAACCTCCATTCTAAAATAAATATCTCCCGGGCGGCCATATTGGTTTCGTGGTTAGATCACAATGAGGCCTTAATAAACTCTCTAGGTATTGGCTGAAAAATTTCACAAGCAATTTTAAAGTAAGAGATTTGATTCATGCATTTCATAGTTATAGTCTGCAGTGTAGAAGGACCAATTGTCATGTAAATCTGTACACAGTGAAGTTTCAAACAGGACTATCTTAACACAGCTTCTACTTTCACCCTATATGATTGACTTACCAGGTCGTAAAATCATCTGATCTATCGTTTTCAGATGATATCGACGGATTGAAACCAATAAACAGTGTGGCTGAGGTGGTAAGATCTCCTAAAGATTCTAATGCTCTGGTTGTTTGGACGAAGTGAATCCAAGGAACAGTACAATAATGTCAGACAATCCCTGTGATGATTTTCACGAGTACTCACCAAGTGAAACACTACTACCCAAAGTGACTGAACACCGAGATTTAGGAGTTCTGGCAATTAGTGATTTGATAGCCACAAGTTACCACAATGTATCTGTGGCTAACATTTGCCGAGTCTTATGTGTGCTTTATGAAGACTTTCGTAACATGGACAAGGATATGTTAAAAACACTATCCACGAGATATATCTTACCGGAGTTGCGATATAGAATACAAGCTGCGAGCTATCCTATAGATTATGAAACGGGTTTGTTATAACGAGCTCGAAAAACAGAAATTAAGGTGTAAGTAGCCATTCCAATATATCTTATAAAGATCAAGGAAATAGATTGAGGTGTTTTTAGTAATTAGAAGTATTCAAAATAATGTACTAACAAGGGATTCCTGAAATAGTGCAATTTACGTCAGGTAAAACTAGGTGAGAACAAATGAATGTAATATGGTTGGAATTCGAAATCTGCGGATCATCAATTGCAAAAAGATCATTAGTTCGTACAAATACCACAGTGTTTCACAGTAACAGTCACCAGTATACTATTGATGGTAAACCACTTCCACGAGTTCAAGAACATAAAGACTCAGGAGTAATAATAAGTCATGACTTTAAAACAACTACGCATTGCAACGCAGCTTCTGTCGAAGGTTTTCGTGCGTTATGGTCACTTTGACGAGCATTCAAATGCTTTTTTTGAAGAGGAAATGTTTCGAATTTTACATCCCACCTATGTAAGGCCACATTTAGAGTACTGTATCCAAGCAACTAGCGCATGTCTGGTAAAGGGTGCTAAATCACTTGTGAAGGTCCAGCACGTGTGACAAAATTTGTGGAGGGTCTTTCTAAACTCCCATACTATGAGCGTTTAAAATGCCTAAACCTTTTCCTCTTGTCGGAGGACGCGAGGTAATCTTATACTGGTATTTCGTATATTTAATTATGATTTAGGTGTTATTATGTCTTATCTTTTCGCTCCTTCCAGCACTAGGAATCTCCGAGGTCATAGCAAGAAGGTTCATACACCGCAATCAAATAAACTTAAAATGGGATCCCGTTTTTCTCATCGAGTAGTCAATGACTAGAACGCCTTACCCGAACAAGTGGTATCAGCCCAATCAGTGAATATTTTTAGGAAGAACCTGGACCTTCACTGGGTGGAAATCTGTCAGGATTAACACAGGTTCACCAACCTACTGTCCTTCTTACTGAGGACCGAACTGTCACTTGGACATATCTGACCTTCATACTGGCTGCAAAGTTCGAATTATTTGCGCCGTCATGACTTCAACGATCGAAAGACCGATATGGGATGATGTGGATGTAAGTACTTTAGCTAAGTATAATGTTTTTGATTCAGGAAGCTATGGTGGATGAAGTTATGCGCATGTCAACAGAAGAGCTTACAAGTAGAGCAAGACTGCTTGATTCCGAAATTCGTGTAAATCAACATGTCGTACCATAACGTTGTTTAGTTTATGCAATCTGAGTTAAAACACGTCAATCATGAAATAAACACAAAGCAAACAAAAGTTAAGGACAGTAAAAGCAAAATAAAAATGAACAAGGCACTCCCCTACTTAGTAGCAACCGTCGTTGAAGTACTATCTATTTTTCCTTATCTTAATTCCCTTAGTTGCTAGATGTAGAGCCTCAGGAAGATGAGATAGAGGAGGGAGCAAACGTTGATCTTGATTCTCAGCGTAAGGGAAAATGTGCAGTTATCAAAACAAGTACTAGACAAACATACTTCCTGCCGGTTATTGGTCTTGTACCTCCCGAAGATTTAAAACCTGGCGACTTAGTTGGAGTACATAAAGACTCATACTTGATCCTTGAAAAACTTCCGCCGGAATTCGACTCCCGAGTTAAGGCTATGGAAGTTGATGAGCGTCCAACCGAGAGATATAGTGACATTGGTGGACTTGATAAACAGATACAGGTAAGAAATTATCCACTCAACTTGATTTTTCAAGGAGTTAATTGAAGCCGTTGTTCTCCCTATGACGCATCGTGATCGTTTCGAGGCACTTGGCATTCAGCCACCAAAGGGAGTCTTATTGTATGGTCCACCAGGTACAGGAAAAACACTGCTGGCCCGTGCATGTGCAGCTCAGACCAAATCCACGTTTCTTAAACTTGCTGGTCCTCAGTTAGTGCAAATGTTTATCGGAGACGGAGCTAAACTGGTCAGAGATGCCTTCCAATTAGCTAAAGAAAAAGCTCCAGCAATTATTTTCATCGATGAACTCGACGCTATCGGTAAACGTCACAAATTTGAAAATTCATCTATATTTTGAAAATGTTTAGTCAAAATAACAAGTTCTGTTTCACTTAAGTTTCCTCACAGGTACCTTCTTAATGTTAGAGATCATGTTCTGGACTCCTATTTGTGATATTTTATACCAAAAATTCATCTTGATATTCACATTGAGTAAACGGGTTAAGATCATGAGGCAGTGTGAACAGGACTCCTATTAGACATACTAAGCTTTTATAAATTGACATGGTTGCAAACCCCACTGACTTTGGGAGTGCATTAGCAGTGATATTTTTCGACTAAAAGCGTCCACTTAGACTACAGACTGTTATAGAGACTGCAAAACTATTCATGTGAGCTTTTAGGAGCTATACAATCCCGCGATTAGTTGAGACATCAAAGTGCATGAATCTCCGGACCTTTTTCGGGCGTAAAGGATTTCTTTCTACAACACCTGTTATGTGTCTAGAAAGAACTAGCCCTGGTTCTAGAGTTAGGTCTCAAGACCAGTCTTATCTTATGGTTAAAAAAAAACACTTAGGTTGAACATTCACCAAACGTGTTATGGGATCATATGAAGTAGTATAGAGATTTTATTAATCAAGATTTATATATCTTAGTCTTTTCTCGCTCATTCTAGTAACAGTTTTGAGATGCTGGAGTTTCCTTCTATGAGCTGGATGGTTTGGTTGTGGAGCTTTAGTTATTTCGAACACAAGCTTCTAACGGAAGAACAATGAAAACTCCACAACTAAACCATCCGGCTTATAGAAAGAAACCACCAAAAAGTAACAGTTTTATTTATGTTTATTCATATATCTAGCAGTGCATACACTGATTACCTGGTTGCCATTGGATATGAGGTGTTTTATCTTCATACCACCGCAAGTCGGTTGAATCTGACAGAATTATTCATAGCTTTGGCAAAATCATTGCAAAGCTAGAACAAAAATGATAAATGGGTTTTCCAAAAATATTGAAGTATATAAAAACGTTTTCAAAAGGAACACCAAATTGTGGCGCATATATATTCGGTGCCCTCTTGTACCAATATTTATGTGTTCAAATAAAATAAAATAAACCGGACAATTTGTTAAGCATTACCAGGACATTATATTAGTAATTTTAACGTTTCGGAACTCCACTTAGCTGATCTATAAAGTGAATAAAGCTTCTATTTCTTGGCCACAGAAATCTATTGTTAATAAAATCAGTATGCTCAAACTGTTTGTATTTCGAACTATTTTATTTGTTCCTTATTGGAAGGGCCTTAGATCTTCACCTTTACTGTTCGAGCATCAACACCTTTTTTCGTGACTGTAAATTTTACACACCAATTATGTACTAAGAATGACTACATAAGACGCTAATGGTATTAAGCAACTAGTTATTAATTGTGCAACTATTATCCTATTACTCAATGTAACTGCTATCGTAGCGATTTTGTTAAACAATCGTCCCAGTGAATATAAACCAAGAGCAGTACAAGTTTCTGCGAATTAGTCACCAACCAATACAATAAAATTTGGTTTCTAATCGTAACTATATACTTCCTAGGGTTATCGGAGTGACAGATTTTGGGAGTTTGCTCAAGCTTCTAACCCATGCTAAATTGAGACTTATTTCTGCTTTATCCCTGTTTTAAGGAACAAAGCGTTTCAATAGTGAAAAAGCTGGAGATCGTGAGGTACAGCGAACAATGTTGGAACTTCTCAATCAACTGGATGGTTTTCAACCAAACCATGACATCAAGGTGATTGCGGCTACAAATAGAGTAGATATATTAGACCCAGCGCTGTTACGAAGTGGTAGAGTTGATCGGAAAATCGAATTTCCTGCACCAAACGAAGAAGCACGTGCCCGCATTATGCAGATTCACTCTCGCAAGATGAATGTACAGTAAGTTATTTAATTTATTCTCACCAAAACACCTCTTCAGAAAAGATGTAAATTTTGAGGAGCTAGCTCGCTGTACAGATGACTTTAATGGAGCTCAGTGCAAAGCTGTATGTGTGGAAGCGGTAAGTTTTACCCATTGTCATTTTTGTTGTATTTGGTGACTGACACTTTAATTTTAGTCTACTTTAGTTGTTTAGTTTCCATTACAAATTTAAACTGATTAAAGAATCCTAACAGTCCTCCAATTTCATTATTCAAAAGCTTGCTGAGAAAATTGTTCTTATGGTTTGATTCATTTTTAGTTGTGCTCTTTGTTTTAGAAAGCTAGTAATATGAAAGCTGCTATGTGTGCGTTGCATTCAGCCCAGAGTGTGGTTTGTGCAGTGTCGAACAAATCTAAGTTTATTTGCGGGTCTCTTGTTGAGACGTTAAACAACATAAAGTCGTAGATTAGACCAGGATAACAAACTTCGGTGAAACTAACCCAAGTCAAAGTCTCTCGAATAAACTAGTCGGAGGAATTGGGTAAGTGTGGAGAATAAGTATAGAGCGGTGAAACCTGCACTATTCAAATGAGTTAAGCCGTAAAAGCATCTGCGAAATGATAACGTTCTAGCTTAGCTTACTTAGACCCTGTAACTGCCACGAAGCACCACGCGAAACTTATTATAGTGGCATGCACGGATGTGATCGGCCGACCAAAATAATAAGCAGATCTATCTTAACTGATTTAAGTGGATATACTTTAAAGGAACATGGGGCGGCGGCTTATTGGTTAAGGTGTTTAAATTTCAGTCGCTAACGTCCAGATTTGAACCTCGCCCCGCCTACTTCGGTTTAGGCAACGGGGCAGTATCAGTGTGGTTCATTCTCAAGCACCTGATGAATATGCCAACTTATATTTGTTAATGTGAAAGAAAAAAATGTATGAAGAGATTAAATAGGTAACATTAGAGTAACAGCCTAATCCATTTTTAGATGGTAATCAATCGTAATTGAGTAATAAGTACGTAAGTAAAGTAAATGGTGGCTTTCTATCAAACTACTGAGATGCAGAATGTTTATTTTACTAGTTGCAGTGTCAAGGAATTCCTGAGAGTTACAATTGCTTTAAGATTAGGTGAAACTTTCAGATTAAAGTTGTCTAATCGTAGGTCTCATGAGAAAAAGCCAATTGAGTAAATAGAATATTGCAACTAATAAGTAGAATTTAAGATTTCAAAGCAAGCGGTTGCGTACTCACCACTAATCGTCTAAATGATTAATTATCGAGTCTTGAGCCATTAACCCTTTACGGTCTTACAAAACTTAGTTTTTGTTTATGCTTTAATCTGGAGATTATATATACACCTAACGGTCTACCTTTATTTCACCTGGAAATCCTATTAACGATCTGCAAAATGTTAGTAACTCGTCAGTATATTTTAACTATGATTGGCTCAAGTTCACTTATCGGTTTATAGACACTCAAGTTAATCTTGTACGAGATATTTACATGTCGCTGAGAAAATGAGTTTGCCATTGCTTATATTCCGAAACTTATTATTTTTTCAGGGTATGATTGCGTTGCGTCGAAGTGCGTCAGAAGTAACACATGAAGATTACATGGATGCCATTTTGGAAGTTCAAGCTAAGAAACGCACTAATCTAAATTACTATGCCTAACTACCATTAGATTATTGAAAGTGTGCTTTTTTATATTAAAATCACAGATGGTTTTAAAGTATACTGACTCTTGTACGGTCATCACAGTTCTTTGTGTTACGAGCAGCTGTTCGTGATCCTCCGTTATTTGTTAAAATATACCTTGTATTTATTTTACTTCAGGACGATGCTGTGTTCTATTTATTAACCTGGTGGATGCTGTTCAGTTGTTTTCCTTTGTTTTATCATTACTGTTAGTATGATAACTAATTTGTTTTTCGCTTTATGATGTCAACGCCATTATCTTGTCTTTACGTATTCTTAGGATAGTAATTTTAACTTGTTTTGAGCTTTGGCATCATGTTTTTTATCGAACCGGAGGCTCGTACGCGTTCTAACTGCTTCGTTAGCCTAATAATATAACTAATTGTTACCCAGTGATGTATCGAGATAAGGTTCTCAATGACACCCTAGATCAAACAGTTAAATGTGACAAAATATGTGACTTATATTTCAATTTACTGTTATACGAAGCACCCATGAATATATTGGTGTTTACATATAACATAACAGAAACATCATTTAGGGGTTCGCAATTGTTTGCTAAAATTTATGATTCAAATTCGAGTTGCATGTAAAACAAAAGGCATTCAAATTATCCAATTTATTAGTAAAATAAGTCTTAGTATAAAATTGTTTCGAAGCATCTTTCTTATAAGTAAATGTACAATACACATATTTACAGGAAAATCTTACTGTTTAGCAGTCTCGTTTGATATTTTGGAGATTTCGGAGACCCTTAAAACAATGTTAGAAATAACCAGATATCTTACTTCTAGAAACAACTTTATCTGAGCTTTTATAGAATTAGCTCTCTTCTTGTACATGTCAGCACGCCCGTTCAGGATAGAGATGCGCGAATCAATAATATTTAAGGCTTCAGCATGACTGCACTCAAGGTAAAATCCTAGGCCAATGTCAACTGCAATAGGTTCAACAGAATAACTATACATTAAATAGTGTTATGGTCTTACATCAATCCATTTACATAAATATTGCTTCCGACATTTACTTTGGTTTTTAAGTTATTTTGAGGGACATCGATATCCTTCATTTTTTCAATGAGGTTCTTCAGTTCCAAATATTCCGAAATTTGACCATACACTAAGTCCCCAGCATCTAAAGTTTTTCTGGATTTTAAATATAATTAAGGAACACTCAAGATACTTGAGGTCCGTTTTCAGAGTTTCATTAACATGCTCTTCAAGTTTTAGTATCCTTTGGTCCATTCTTCATGAGAGTCCCCCAAGGATCGGATTAGTAGTAGCTAGATAATAATTAAGTTCTGTAAGGATCAAAGAACTACATTGGATGATTTCGTAGGTATCACGTAAAATTATGAGCAAAACAATAATTGTGACGTGGATGAGTCAAAAGAAAAATTTCCAGATATTAGTTTATGTCCACCATGCGACTTTGTCGCCTTTGATTTACTCTTGCTGTCCTTCAATTAGGAAAAAAGCACTACTAGCATTACGAATTGAGAATAAAAACGATACTAAAAGTACTTTATTTTATATAATGAATGTTGTGATAATCGAATGACATTTGAAGTATCGTAGGATGATGGGGTGTACAGGTCAGTCGAGATAACTGTGGTTTTATTAAACAAACTTGTAGATTTTACTTCATGATGGCTGAGTATGTTGTTTTCGCTAAAAGTTAGTGAACGAAACATGTATAATAAGTTTTTTTTCGAGGTTCTAAAAGTTTCAATCTTTAATTTCTGACTCCGATACCTAGAAATTTCTTACGCGACAATTCTTTATTATGAACTCACAACGGGATTGTTAAAGTAGCAGGTTATAGAGGAAAATTAGACAGCGGATTCAAATGCAGGATGAAATTGGGTAAATGTCTACGTTTATGACAGACCTATAATAATTAAGGCAAAATTATAAAGCATATATTATGCATGAACGTCTAAGTGAAGTCAATACTGATGTCCAAAACAATAGGGGGAGATTTGTATTTTAGCTTGGAGAACAAAACTGAATAACAAACTTGACACCAACTACCACATAATATGGTTTAAGTTTGCAGTTACTCACAACCAACATATAATCTGGGACAAAGTGTATCATTTAAAAAACAGCGATGTAAGGGAATAAGTTAATACAATTTAATTTGGAGTAAAAATAATTGAAAAATGATGTTAATAAAATGTCAGATGAAATTAAGAAACAAGTCACATAAAACCAAACAGAAACCGGTCCATGGGATGATAGGGAACGGATACCTCTCTATCACCGACTCGGATTTTGGACCATAAAGCGTGGTTTGTTAACTTGGGCTTCGATTAGCTCCCACGTTCCAACGTGACATAGTTGGCTTTAGGGTTCATTGTCTCATTTACTTCTCTAGTATCTTCAGCCAATACTATGCCTAACCTATATAGGTGATTTTCTCATATATGAGCAATAACTTGAAGACATCTGTGACCTACACCACGCGTTACGTAACTGGATAAGACTTTGTTATCCCTGCCCAATAGTTCACCAGCTGATAAAGCTTTTTGGGTAAGTACGGTGGACAATGAATTAAACCAAATTACTACAAATGGCGAAGTTTCGTACCGCTAAAGACCAATTCTAATGTAACATCTTCCAATTAGAAGCGGACATCCACATATTCTTCGAGTCCAACATATCAACACAAGATGTATTTTATCAGCTTCCTTATTATATGGTTATATATATATATATATATATATATATATATATATATATATATATATAGCGTTAGGAGACAGGTACCCCGAACACTACTTAAAAGGGTTCTCTCGAAACACAACTACTAAAGCTAAATAAAAAACGGAACAGCAGACAACGTTGATGACGAAATTTAGTTGTTGTTATGTCAATGCTCCAAAACTTATAAAACGGCGAAACAACTGTAGGACACACCTATAAAGCATTAATAAACTTCGAACAGTCAAACTAATGAAGCACGAAACACTGAGATTGAAGATAGCAACATTCTATACCACGTTCTGAAATGAGACAAAGCCCAGTATGGCCATATTTTGTCTCTTCAAACTCAACAAATGATGAGTAGTCAGTTTTCCTTATTATAAACCTTTGTAAGTAACAATAAAAGATTAGTTTTTGTTAACGACAGTTGGTGACCGAATTCACTGAAACTGTGAATATGATCAAATCTACTATTTTGTGTGAATTTTAACGATATGTTGTTACTTAATAGTATGATTATTAGGAATAGGGAAATCTTTGCCAGCGTCTACTGATGCCTTGTAACGCGACAGTTGAAAAGTTGCACAATACTCAATATCCTTGTCACGACCTTGTATTGAGCGACTGACTTCGAATTCGCTTTTTCTTTCGGAGTCTTTCTAGGTGTTTTCTTATGTTCATAATAAACGTAGTTTGAAGCAGTTTTGCAAGAGTACCGATCTATGAAGCGACTTAGTCTTCACGTCACTCATTTTGAAATGAGTAACAAGGTTTCAAGGTATCTGCGCACACGTAACGGGTTTTCGAGCGATCATTGGAATCGTTATTTATCCTACGTGGAGTGATTTTTGTCTTTTCGCGTCAACTTTTTAGTGTATGAATATGTTCATGTCTTTATCTTAATGCACACATTCTCTTCCTATAGTCGGATTTATGATGATACATCTACAGCAGGGAAGAGACATTTGACGCGTGGGGCTTTGAAATACTGTCTTTCAAAACTCACATTATGAAATGATCCAAAGTCAATTAAACCAAATGTCGCGGATAATGAAGTGCAAAATATACTTCCGTGTTTTGGCAGAAGTGTTGTAGCGTATATAATCTAATCTAGCTACATATCGGTGTCGTGTATTGATCATAAAAACGTGATTCTTTGTAGAAACGGGGTTGAGCACCCTTAATTCATGACGCTTTCAGTATAACCAATGCAATCAGCTTGAATTTGAAAAATGTGTGAGCTATTTATTTATGGGATATTATTAACAACTACTACTAATTTTTAAGGATCAACTAAAAACGGACGAATAAAGACACTTTATTTAACAAAGTTCACGCAACATTTAGTAAGACTTTTATTTTAATTACTGCGTTTTTCCAAAATTTTTGTGAGAAACCACTGCAAAACAAGTTATTTCTGCGTGCTTTGTACCAGTCGTCTCTTTTCAGTTCCAGGTCTTCGGTGATGACTAATGAGGGTAGCCTTAACTTTCTACTGCAGTAGCTCTGGTCATTTATTAGTTATCTGTGAGTTTTTGGATCTTGTAATCTGAGTGAAGCTATTTTTTAAGGGTGAAAGGATTTCAGGAACCAATAAACCTCACAATACTGGGTAGGTTGATTAGTTGCAATCTGTAAACTAATAGAACCGAAATTGCATTACGGAAGAGTGAAGCAAAGATGATTGTGTATCGGTAAATAAATCTCCAAAATCAATGGCTGACAACAATAGTTTTAATGGATTCACCTAGCTGAAAGCGATTCATATTAGGTGTTACTGGTTAAAGCATTGTCAAACTGCAAATACCTGTGGCATCTTCAATTGCCATAAGAAGAGGCAACTGAATAAATCAACACGAATATATATGAATGTAAGATGATGATGATGTTAAAACAAACAAGTTATGGATGGCATTGATACATACGTCAACTCAGACAGGCGATGATAAAAAAGAAGCGAATCTAAGAGTACAAACATTAAACTTTCGTTTAATCAAGGAATAGTTTTGAAACTTAATCAGTTAGTTAGTTTAGATACTTACTGTCACCCAGTCGAAACCAAAACAAAGTGATCAGAAAGATGGCGGCTCTGAATATGATCATGAATGTACATTATTAGTTAAAGAAATATTACCACCCAGTTATTTGATCGACAACTGTTCGATCAGTGTTCAAATATCTAGATTACATCAACCAGATTAACTTGCATTCTTAATAAGTTTAGAAGTCAAAGTTTCAGGACTTCCGTTTATAGTTTCTCTTACTGGATCAAGATGTACCGTAACATTATCACTAGTTACGTTGTCCGAAGAGAGGTTGAATCTTTGAAGTACTGTCAATGCAGAGAATTACCATAAATTATCCTGCCTACTAATTCTTTTACCAAAGACTTGATGTAATCAGCTTGAATAAAGGTCTAGCTAAAATAGGGATTTACGAACCTTCTACGCGTATCACACATAAATTTGTGATGCATATGATAGTGCTATTCTGCCGATGTGAAAGTTCGGTCAATAACGAATTATTTCGTGAGTGATTCTCGATCAACTTTCATCGTCTAGGGGGGCACAGAAAGGAAATTCATTATTTGGAAATTGTCAAAGTCGCCTAGCTTAGTATGAGAATGTTATATATATAAAATCAGCTGACTGTGATTTGCTTGCTAATTCTTAAGACTTTTGTGCGGATGCTTGCAGACCATCTGGCTGATCGTCGTTCATATCACCACTGGCTTTTGTATC